GTTTCTGATCACCAGCAATAAAAAAGAGAGTCTAAACTAGACTACAAAGGAATTCCGAGAAGGTTTCTGATCACCTACAACACAATAACGCGCGTCAAGAAGGTTACTTCGGGAGCAATAACCCAGATGATTTCAGCTAACCAAAAACTACAATGTTCAAATTCGATCGCTGGACTTAGTTTCTTCTAACACAATCAAAAAACGAATTATGGATTATTTTAGGTGAAGGCCATTCACCACTTGTACACAAGGTTTGAGGTCTACCAAATAAAGGGAAAAATAACTATTATAAGCAAAAAGGAATAATTACAGGCAAGAGATTAATTTTATTTATTTGCGAATATTATTGTAATAACATTATTGAGATCGGATGCTTAGTTGTCGGTCACGAATTATTCGATTATTTGCAAACTAATTATTACTATATTTGCATGTCACTGGAGCATAACTTAATTATTAGCTCTTAGGTAGATATGATCGAATAGCATTTATCGTTGCAAAAATGGTAGCGATAGTTTCCTCTTGACGAAGATTAAGAATTAAGGAATACTCAATTTAATGTTCCTCATAAGATCATTTTCCTATGTATTTACTTATATTTTCATGTGCGGATAGAATATTTGTAGATGCAAGACTGATGTGATGGAGCCCAGCCAGTCTGTTGGTTTTGTTTTCGCGATCATTACAGATAATTTTTATGGAATGCTCGATCGATGAATAAGTCAAGTTATTAGAACCAGTGATTGTTATGAGCGTATGACGTATATGACAGAAAAAGTAAAGGCCTACTATAATGTATAATTTGCCACATAAAATGCGCCAATCAAAGTAGACCACATGATTTGCACGTGGAAATGAATTGGAATTGTAACGTGTCCCTTTGTAATTCTAGCTAACTTATAACTTTCCTCTGTTTAATATACCCTCCCCATGCAAAAGCCGCAGGTCAGAATCAATTTCCAAGCAGATTTAAGGTCTAATTTTCGTGCATAAACTATTCGAGATCCATAAAAATTCCCGAAGACATGCTACATCATGCAAGAATCATAACGTACATTTTACAATCATTTGAAAAATCTAAGTCGAATACGTATTTCAGATTACTTGCATCTTTTGAGAATCAAGTAATAATATAGGAAATTTACTTCTCATAATAACTAAGCGATTCTTAAAATATTTTTGTTTTTATATTTTAAATAAAAACCAACAATAGTTAAAATAATACCAATAAAAAAGCACCAACACCTATGATAGCAATAAGAGCAATATCGTTAATATTTCCTTTTCCATTTGATGTGAGCATGCATGTGGCTGTAGGTGTTGGTATGGTTGATGCGTTCTAAAGAAATAAAGATATTTATTATTAGCGACCAACAAGAAAGAAACCCATATATGTGAAATTCTGAAAAGTAACTTACCGTATTTGTACTCATTACCTCATCAGCAGATAAACTCCAGTTGTAATAGCGAAAATTACTATTTAATTAGAGTTATTGTTTTAATATTGATGTGTTTCTAATTTTATCACATATCGTACATACCTAATTTGACCGGTGAATCCATCTCTGAAAGGAGCGGTTCCGATGTATAGCGGTGCATTATTGAATAAAATTTGTTGTTTCTGGACTTGCTGGATGCTTTGTAATCCGATCCATTTCCCGTCTATGTAGAAATCCAATCGTTTTTGTGGCTCAGAAAGTGTGTAAGCTAAATGGTACCATTGGTTCAGAGAAAGACCGCGACCAACCGAATCGATTCCTGTATTAGGGTTATCGTTTAGCGAGAAGCGGACATGTGGCACTGAATAGTAGTTTGGTGTCAACCAGATTAAGGGCGTACGGTCTATGTCGTTAAAGCCTAAATATATATTAAACATTAGTTTGTATAAATGTTTAAAAATTCAACAATTTTCACTTCAAATTTGATCAATGTACCCATTCTTTTGCAAAACGCATAACTATACCTTTATGAAAAACAGATGTCCAATTAGGATTTTTATTGAGGAGATTCTGTCGTAACGTCACTGATAGCTCGTCTGTCACCACTGGCAACTCGGCGTGTTCTATTACTTTACTATCCTTAGTAGAGAAACTAATGGGATCTGAAATGAGCTCATAAAATGTCCTTGATAT